TAAATATATAAAACACATGTCTGAAGCAGCACAGGAAGACAGCCCTGAAACCATTTTGACTCCCAAGCTGACCAAATGTTTCTCTGCAAGGAGGGAGGAGGTGAAAAAAACCTTCCTTGTTATAGGAATTGGGTAATCACCATTTCAAAGGAATGGGCAGACTACCAGGAAAGGCAGTCAGATAAGGCATTATCAGATAATCTGACAGACAGGAGAAACAACATTCAAATTTCTGTGGTAGACCGCCTTTTCTGTGATGTAGGTACAATGTTTGTGGGGGGTGGTCATGGGTTACACCCCTTCTGTGATGTGTGTATGATGTACGGAAGGGTGGTCTTGAGCTCCAGGGCAGGGAATTTAAAATGTCTATATAAGGGCAGGCACACCTTTGTTCTGGGTCCTCCTCCGTCCTCCTGCATGTGAGGGGAGGACCCTGTTGCAACAGCTTTAATGAAGATCAGGCTTACTAGCTGCTTTGCTTCTCAATATTCTCTGGTTGGCCTCTGTTATTTTCTCCTACCAATAGGGAACCTACGTAAGGACTCTATGTGGGCTCTTGGATAGCCCCTAAGGGAAAAAGGGCAGATTTTGTTTACAACTCAAGAATCCTGGAAACTGTAGTTGACCCCTCCCAGAGCTACAATTTCCAGCCCCCAGTACAGTTCCCACGATTCTTTGGTGGAAGCCATGTGCTTTAAAATCTCTCTGGGATAGCTCAGTCGGATAAAGATGAGACTCTCAATCTTGGGGACATGGGTTCGAGACCCACTTTGGGCAAAAGATTCCTGCAATGCAGGGGATTGGACTAGATGACTCTTGTGGTCCCTTCCAACTCTACAATTCTATGTAAATGTATGGCAGAGATGTGACACAGAGCAGAATTTTTACCAAGCCGTTTTTAGAGAACACCTCACCCCCACCCGAAAAAGAGAGAGAGAAGCTTGGCTGTGCCCTTCACAGGAAGTAAATGTCCATTCACCAACTTACTGGGCCTACTAGTTGCTGGAGCCCAAGGAAGGGAGCTCAGTCTTCAGATTCCAAGCTGTTGTCCTGCTTTTGCCTGCCACCTCCACTTTCTCCTTCTCCATCTCAGTTGTTGCGGGGAACTACAGAGTCTCCCTTGTGCCCCGAGGGGGCATGTGCCTTAAGAGCTGTCCCCCGCCCCCATGGCATCCCTTGAGATGCTCAATATGCACGTGTGGAGCCACTCATAATTTGCCTTGCAGGTTTAGCCGCTGTTGTGTTTCAGGATTCTTAGCAGCAGCGGCAGCGAAGAAGAAGAAGTAGTAGAAGAAGAAGAGGTGCATACATTTACTGGCGCCTCCTTCCAGTGTTCTAGGTCAGGGAGATCATCTGCATATGAAGCATTACATCTCTGTGCTCCTAAAATGCAACTCCTGACTTCAAGTCAAGAGGCTGCTGCTGTTCACAGACCTGGAGGTGCTTTTCTGACTGTAGCATCCTTTACATTACCAGATAGGTCTGAACATATCATGTTGAGAACAAGCAAATGGACAAGCAGAGGGAAACAAACAAATAAACAGGCTCATCTATACTTGTCCCAAGCCTAAAAAGCATGGGGCTGAATGGTTTTCCACTTGTCCTCTGCTTTTTAAGGATGCACCTTAGTGGTTTTGCATTTGCCTTGCAACATTCCTATGGAAAACACATTTTTTACTGCTGATTTGGAACAAGCGGCAATCCGCAGAAAATCCAATTGCTGTTTGGTCCTCAGCGGTAACCTCTGGGTTTCCCCAGGGGGACGTAATGGGGCAAGCAGAGGTGTGGACGAGCCCAGAGAGGCGGCTTCCAAACGTTCAGCAACAATCGTTTACCGTATTTTTCACTCTATAGGACGCACCTTTCCCCCTCCAAAAATGAAGGGGAAATGTGTGTGCGTCCTATGGAGCAAATGCAGGCTTTCGCTGAAGCCTGGAGACCGAGAGGGGTCGGTGCGCACCAACCCCTCTCGCTCTCCAGTCTTCAGGGAGCTATCCGCAAGCCTTCTGAGCGAGGCGGGAGTTCCCCTCCTAAAAACTAGGTGCGCCCTATGGTCCGGTGCGCCCTATGGAGCGAAAAATACAGTAAGTTCCATTGCATTTCCAGTTGTGGGACTCTTTGAGTTGTCATGATTCAAAATGGATCCGGCTTGTTTCTAGTGATTGTTTCTAGTGACCCTTATAAAAGTCTCTGCTTCCCTTCATTTTCAAGGGCAAGCAATGTGTCAGTCAGGATCCTATTGCCCATGCAATACTGTACTGAGTGAACATAGAAGTTAGGCTTGTGCCAGTCACAGCAGATGGGGCCTTAGAGACCAAGTGACATCTTAAAATGTCAAATTCTCTTTCTTTCCTCTCTGTCCAGTTTCCGTATGCTGCCCCACCGCCCCAGGAGCCAGTGAAGACACTGCGAAGCCTGATCAACGTCCGAAAGGACACATTGCGCCTAGTCAAGTAAGTCGCTGTTGCTCCACAACAGGGGTTTGTAGCACTCTGATGTTGAACCATAATTTATTTTAAACCGGTTTAACTCAAGGAGCTGACCTTATAACTTCCCAATCCAAATTCCTTTGGTTGTGGGGACAAACCATGAGCTCTGGTTTGCATGTAATGTGAAGCCAACCTCTGGTTGCTTTCCCTCCTGTCGTGTCCCAGGCAGAAGTGGGGAAGGAGCAACCTGGGAACTTGAGCAACGTGCACTAACACGCTGCCCCTTGTTTTAAACTACGGTTTAACGTGATGTGTAAACTAGGCAGCTGCTGTCAACCTTGGTGAGCCCAAAAATTCTGCAAGGATTGGGTCTTTTTCAGCCTTGCTACCAGAAATCCTTTTGAGTGGCTATGTGATGAAATGAATCTGGGATTTTCTGCACGGAGAGCATGTATGTTCTGCCTATGAGCTATGCCCCTTCCCTTCCTCACTTCATCAGATAACTCTGTAAAAGCATCCTCAAGCATAAATGATTTTTTAAAGGTGCCGAACATACCTTGGCCTTCCTAAATATCTCTGCAGTGTTTTCAAATATATTCCTGGACCATGAGCACTTGTCTAATAGGATAGATGGGGTGTTATACACAGTGAGTGCTGTGTGCCTTTGCAGTTATTCATTCTGACAAAGGGTGCCCTCTGTTAGGTGCCTGAGAGCTGGTTTTTCTTAATTTCCCGGGCACAAAATTACTGCGTTTAAGTGGCAGAATGCATGCATGGTGTGCCAGTTATGAATGCTGCATATGTGTGTAAATGAGCTGGTTTCCCTTCAATAGAAGAAACAGAGGCTTGGACCTTTTCCCAGTTTCGGTTACTGTTTTTAAATGCTCAGGTCTTTGCTGCTCATTAAACATGAAAGGCTCATCCTTCCCCCAACCTCCCGCATACTTGGGCAAACTCAGCTGCTCAGAACACACATGCCATCCACAGATGAGAGTGTCATGTGTTGTTTTGCTCCTTTAAACCCCCCTCCCCCCATTTGAACTTGACTTCAAAAAGCAAGGCTTGAATTTAGGTAAGTCTGTTTGCTCCGTTTTGATAATGGTCTGCTGGAAGCAATCCCATCAGCTGCAGTACAGCAGGGGAGATCCGTTTGTAGCTCCTCAAGATTAGTGCAGAGATTATCTGGCTGTTTTGGAGGAGGAGTTACACAGATGCCCTGTAAGACAAGGAGACAGGCTGTTTGTGCCTTTATATCTCTATCTTCTCCACTTGGCTTTCAGGGTCACTGCAGGTGACAACAGGATTAGACGGAGTTGAATTCACTCCTGTTGCTGGGCTAAAATCAGAGCCAAATAAAATCCAGCAGTTTAGAGCTCAGGACCTGAGGGGTTGCTGTGTGTGTGTGTGTGTGTGTGTGTGTGTGTGTGTGGAGAGGGACTGACCTAGCAAAGACTGTGGGCAGTATAGCGGCAGTAATGAAACTGAAGGGATGTTCTCTACCAGTTTAACATGCCGTGAATTTGGTTACTAAGATTGCCCTTTCCTTACTTGCATTCTGGATTCAATTTGCATTTGTGTTTTCAGCTATTTTCAGAGGGATGTTGCCAAGGCCTGGGAAGTCAGGCATGCAGAAAAGGCAGAGGAAAGAAAGGGGGGGGGAGCCTTTTGGTAGCCCTTCCCCCACCACTGCTGCCAGTGGCTGTGTGCATGGGTATCCAGAGGGGGCTCCCTCCCTGACAGTGGGTGGGTGTGAAGTAAATACCCCAATACATAAACAAGGATACATAATTTAGCACCACAGAATTGGTCTGCCATTTCTGGTAGATCTGGTAACCATGATGTCTGAGAGACTAGTACTTAAGAGCCACATCCGTACTACAGTGGTACTTCTGGTTACGTACTTAATTCGTTCCAGAGGTCTGTTCTTAACCTGAAACTGTTCCTAACCTGAAGCCCCACTTTAGCTAATGGGGCCTCCCTCTGCCACCGCGCTGCCGGAGCACAATTTCTGTTCTCATCCTGAAGCAAAGTTCTTAACCCGAGGTACTATTTCTGGGTTAGCGGAGTCTGTAACCTGAAGCGTATGTAACCCGAGGTCCCACTATATATATTTAAAGCACTGTGATACCACTTTAATAGTCATAGAGAATCCTGGGAACTGTGGTTTGAGGGGAGGGGAATTGTCAGGTAAGCACACTTAACAAACTACAGCTCCCATGTGTCTTTGAGGTGTGTATGTAGGAAGCCATAACTGTTAAAGTGGTATAAGAGTGCTGTAAATGTTTGGCACGGACGAGACCCCTCTGTCGTTTCTCAACATGGTAGTCCTGGCAGCTTGATGATGCTGTACTTCTACCCACAGCTGAAACTCAGTTCTTTATCTGACTCCCACCCACCTTTTTAACTCATTGCACTGCTTGCTACAATCAATTTCACACACCCGGCAACTTCATTTCCGATAATATTGACCCACACCATAGTAATCCATTTTAAACAAAATAATAATAATAATAAAACAGCAGGAACACTGGGTTTCTCTTGCCATGCTTACTGACTCTGCAAACATAGCATGGGGCACCAAAGCCCCACCGAGACACAGGATTTCATTTCCAAAATAGTTACCTTCAGGGTCCAGCTCAGCCCCTTGCCCCAGAGGAGTGTGGCCAGAAGCATCAGCTTTGGGTAGAGATTTGTTTGAACTCACTTGATGTAGCAGGGATGAAATGGGTGTCTGGAAGGAAGAAGGGGATGGCATCACATTTTGCTGTCTTACTGTGGCAGGTGGGTGCGGACGTCTGGCCAGGCTTAGCAAATGGGATGCTTCAGGGTTACCGTATTTTTCGTCCTATAGGACGCACTTTTCCCCCTCCAAAAATGAAGGGGAAATGTGTGTGCATCCTATGGGGCGAATGCAGGCTTTCGCTGAAGCCCGTTTTGGGGGCTGGGGTCGGGGGAAGCTCAGGCTTCCCCCGCCCCCAGCCCCGCAAGCTCCGGGAGCAATGGCGAGGTTGTGCAACCTCCCCTTCGCTCCTGGACCCCCAGCCCAAGGCTAAAAACGAAGCCAGGACAGCTAGCGGGATCCATCCCGCTTGCTGTCATGGCTTCTTTGCTCTTTGGGGCTCGGGGGGAAAATAAAATTTTCCCCTTTATTCCCCCCCCCCCCAAAAATAAGTGCACCCTGTGGGCCAGTGCACCCTATAGGGCGAAAAATACGGTAATTTAACTGAGGACCTGGAGTTTGTGTCAATTCTAGATGGGCTGCATGCATACAGTTGCCTCCAGGGGTTAAATGTTTTAAAGTTCTACTGCAGGTGTGCTTGCAGCACAAGCCATTTACTTTCTTAATGT